TGAGGAGAGACACATGAAACGAGGGGTTAATACGGTAATCAGGGGGAAGTAATAACTTATACGTGACCTCGTTGATTCTCCTCAGGACTTTGAACCGCCCCACAAACCGCGGGCTCAGCTTCCGGCAGGGCAGATTCCGGGTCGAGAGCCAGACCTGATTCCCCGGTACGAAGACCGGGGACTCACTGCGGTGACGGTCAGCGTTGGCCTTCTGACGATGCACGGCGTGCTGGAGGTGAACGTGGGCAGCGTCCCACGTCTCCTCCGTGCGCCAAAACCTGTCATCCACCGCAGGAGCCTCTGTCTGGCTCTGGTGCCACGTGCCAGAACCAGTTAGTAACCTAAAACACATTGGAATGGTGTTAGGTTAGTAGAGGAGTGGCGGAGAGAGTTCTGGGCATATTCTGCCCATGGCAAGAACACCAACCACTCCCCCGGCCGGTGCTGGCAGTAGGACCGCAGGAACCTAACCACATCCTGATTTACCCGTTCCACCTGTCCATTTGACTCGGGGTGGAACCCAGAGGTCAGGCTGACCGAGACCCCCAGAATGCCTGTTCCGTGACCCCCAGAATGCCAGTTCCGTGAATGCCTTCCAAACCTTGGACGTGAACTGGGGACCTCGGTCGGACACTATATCCTCTGGCACCCCGTAGTGCCGGAAGACGTGAGTAAACAGGGCCTCCGCAGTCTGCAGGGCCGTGGGGAGACCGGGCAGAGGAAGGAGGCGGCAGGACTTGGAGAAGTGGTCCACAATGAACAGGATGGTGGTGTGACCTTGGGAGAGGGGAAGATCAGTCAAAAAATCAATACTAAGGTGAGACCATGGTCATTGTGGAACTGGTAAAGGTTGTAGCTTACCCGCTGGGAGGTGCCTAGGTGCCTTAGTCTGGGCACACACCGAGCAGGAGGAGACGTACACCCTCACGTCCTTAGCCAAGGTAGGCCACCAGTACTTTCCAATCAAGCAGCACACTGTACGACCGATACCTGGGTGACCAGAGGAGAGTGATGTGTGCCCAGAAGATCAGACGATCACGGATAAGAGCAGGCACGTACTGCAGCCCAGCTGGACACTGCGGTGGAGATGGATCTGTGCGTAATGCCTACTCTATATCCGTGTCCATCGCCCATACTACCGGCGCCACAATGCAGGAGGCCGGGAGTATGGGGGTGTTGTCTCTGGGCCTCTCCTGTGTCATACAGCCGGGACAGTGCGTCTGCCTTCACGTTCTTCGTACCCGGAATGTATGACAGTGTAAAATCAAACCGGGTGAAGAATAGGGCCCACCTGGCCTGGCGAGGATTCAGCCTCCTCGCTGCCCTGATGTACTCCAGGTTACGGTGGTCCGTCCAGACGAGGAAAGGGTGTTTTGCCCCTTCAAGCCAATGCCTCCACACGGTCAAAGCTCGGACAACAGCCAACAGCTCCCGATCACCAACGTCGTAGTTCTGCTCCGCCGGGCTGAGCTTCTTAGAGAAGAAGGCACAGGGGCGGAGCTTGGGTGGCGTGCCCGAGCGTTGGGACAGGACAGCGCCTATCCCTGCCTCGGACGCATCCACCTCCACTACGAACGGTAGTGATGGATCGGGGTGGGCCAGTACCGGATCTGAGGTGAACAGACCCCGCAGTCTCCTGAAGGCCAGGTCAGCCCCAGCAGACCAGCGGAGCCGGGACGGCCCACCCTTCAACAGGGATGTAATGGGAGCTGCAACCTTGCCAAAGCCCCGGATAAACCTCCGATAGTAGTTGGCAAAGCCAAGGAAGCGCTGCATCTCCTTAACCGTGGTTGGAGTCGGCCAATTACTCACGGCTGAAATGCGATCTCCCTCCATCTCCACACCTGAGGTGGTAATGCGGTATCCGAGGAAGGAGACAGACTGCTGGAAAAACATACACTTCTCTACCCTGGCAACAAAATGTACGAGTAGCTCCACCGAGCTATACTACTCTCACAACTAACAATCACCCACAAGGACAAGGGGGCAGAGGGAACACTTATACACAGACTAATGAGGGGATTAGAACCAGGTGTGTGTGATTGACAAGACAAGACAAATGTGATGATGATTGGGGCGGCAGTGGTTAGTAAGCCGGTGATGACGAACGCCGAAGCCTGCCCGAACAAGGAGGGGAGGCAGCCTCAGCCGAAGTCGTGACACCCATGGTGTTTATACTTGCGTACTATTGTTTGTACAGATGAACGTGGTACCTTCAGGCGTTTGGAAATTGCTCCCAAGAATGAACCAGACTTGTGGAGGTCTACAATTATTTTTCTAAAGTCTTGGCTGATTTCTTTTGATTTTCCCATGATGTCAAGCAAAGAGGCACTGGGTTTGAAGGTAGGCCTTGAAATATATCCACAGGTACACCTCCAATTGACTCAAATTATGTCAATTATGAAAAATGTATGCACTCACTAAACTGTAAGTCGCTCTGGATAAGAGAGTCTGCTAAATGACTAAAATGTAAATGTAAATGTATTTAGCCCAGCAGAAGCTTCTAAAGCCATGACATCATTTTCTGGAATTTTCCAAGCTGTTTAAAGGCACAGTCAACTTAGTGTATGTAAACTTCTGACCCACTGGAATTGTGATACAGTGAATTATAAGTGAAATAATCTGTCTGTAAACAATTGTTGGAAAAATTACTTGTGTCATGCACAAAGTAGATGTCCTAACTGACTTGCCAAAATGATAGTTTGTTAACAAGAAATTTGTGGAGTGCTTGAAAAACGAGTTTTAATGACTCCAATCTTTAGTTATGGCCTAGTACCCCCCACCACCACCACCACCACCACCACCATTGTGGCCTGAGAATTTATATCAGACCTGCAAATCACAATATGCTGGTATTCATATTAGAATCCAGCCATAGGGAGGATATTCCACAAGTATAACTTTTATCACCCACAATTTGCATTCAGAATGACTGCTATGGTGATGAGCTTAGCATAAAAGACTACCTAAACCATCTAAATTGGAACAACCATCTCAGTAACGGGAGCAATAATTCCAACCACTTATAGATTGTATTAGTTTAGAAAAGTTATTTATCTTAGATCAATGAATCAATCAATGTGCATACAGAAACATATATATATTAAAACAAACTGTTCTAAAAATCTACCTACAACAAAGCATGGTGGGAAATATGATAAGGAGGCCCCTCCCACGTCTTTTTCATTCCAAGAGGATTCATGTAAATTAACTCAACACAGTTGAGTAACAACAACACTTCATTTTTTCACTGCAGGTGTCGTCAATTTCAGTCCCACTGGTGTTAACCCCACTAGAATCAACACTCAGATATAACACTCACAACACTTTTTACCTCAACACCGAGATTTTAACACCCACAAATTTGCTGTGTAGGACATAAAGCCAGGGAGATTATTAAGTATTCTTGGTGATGGATGTGACGTCGCTTCTCAGTGATTCATTCATAAACAGGCCACAATGTATTGATATGTTTTGTTTTTATGCCTGATTTACAGTTATGGTGCTCTGTTTATCACTGATGGATGATTTGCAGGTTTAGTGGAACCATCACTGTAGAAAATGGAGGGAAACACTGCACACAGATGATTTACGAGGGAATTCTGTTCCCATGTCCCTGGGAATGTCCTGAGTGCCCTCTCCTAGGACCTGCAGTTACAGCCAGGCTGTAACATTTTACTACCTGTACTACCATTTTACAAGAACGCTTGGAGAAGCAGTGAATGGAGGCCAGCATTGGACACATTTGCCTCTTTCCTCCTCTACTCAGCTTTACCCCTGTGCCTGATACTTGAACTCAGGCCAATCCTTCACCTCAAAATAACTTACCGTCTTGACAGCCTGAGAGCTACATATCGCTGTGACTCAGAACCCCCATGTTAACAAACATGTTATTTTACTTGGTCTCAAGGCTGTTTGCTGAAATACATGGCTCAATACTATGACTTGAAGCAGAACAACTCAATGCTTGTTTGATCAGACTTAAAAAAGAAGAGAATGTCTATTGACATTCAAATGACATCGTAGTGGAGAGGGATTTGAAGTGGAGGGAGGGAGGAAGCATTCTGGCCACGACTGACATCCGCCGCATAGAGAGACGTGTGTCTGTATGCCGTCCCGCCCCTGTCCTCAAACCGCCTGCCAACACACTGCAGCATGCCATGTTTATTTTCGTGTTGTGTTCTCTAGCGTTCTGCCTACATTGTTATTGTCTTTGGCCGAGGCCTGTGGTAGGTGGGGCAATGTTTTTAGGCTAAATGAAAGTGTGCTGGCCCCCACAAAAAAACAGACCACACGTCTTATGGCATAATGCAAAATGTCTCCCTTACCAATAACATTTTTTAAGGGTCGGGGAAGAAAAAAACAGAGATTTTAGGGGGAGAGGGAGAGATGTTCTTGTTTTCAGCCCATGGGCGTACAAGTTCAATTTCCTGACACATGCTGTTTTACTCATGTCCTTTTTATGTACATTATTTAGAGTTTGCCTGGTTGCTCATCTGACGCATGTGTCCCACACATTGCATGAAACAAAACGGAGCTGAGAAGCATAACATGCTCTCTTGTAAAAAGAGACAGCACTCTCTTGGTAGAACAGGCATATGAATGAGTGGGTGTACCGCAGGCTCATTCGAGACAGTAATGGTGTTAGGCATTTCAGTGACAGTCCAATTAAATTCATAGGCTACTATACGTTGTGAATGCTGTTTTATGTTTTGACAGCATATAGTGGGTTTTTACATACACTGTATGATTACCGTTGGAAAATGTGACATATTCAGGTCTGAAATGAGAGAGAGTTGACATGAAATCTCAAAACAGCTTCAACACCTGCATATATAAAACTGCTGTTCGTTCTTGACGTTTCACATCCCCCTGACATTCTCTGATCCGAAATCCAATCTTTTAATTGACATACTATAAATGATAAACATGCATTTCTTAACTGTGAAAGTATTCATTTCAGACTGTGTAGACTGGACTGGGACACCTCTTAAAGAACAATGGTGTGGACGTTAAGGTCACTGACTATGCTGCTGTTCCTGGCATATCTACAGGCAATAGAGGAGGAGGATATCCGAGCTGGTATGTACAGTATGTCTACATATGGTATGGTATGTCTGTTCTGTTCCCACGGGGGGCCAGTATGGAAAATAAATAAATAAATAAAAAATACAAAAATACAACAAAAAAATGAATAATGTATGAACTCACTGTACTGTACTAACTGTAAGTCGCTCTGGATAAGAGTGTCTGCTAAATGACTAAAATGTAATGTAAATGTAAATGTAGAAAACATGCAGGTTAAACCTTACATCTCAAATTACAAAGGACATGTTTGGAGCTAAATATGGAAAGCCTTGACATTGTACATGATCATATCTTCTTTTTGAGGTGTGTGTGTGTGTGTGTGCACATACATGCATGTATCTATGACTGTGTGTGTGTGTGTGTGTGTATGTGTGTGTACACCTGTGACCACCCCTCCCAGGCTGCAGCACGGCGGTGAATGACCTAGTCTACATCATAGATGGCTCGTGGAGCGTGGGCCACAGCGACTTCAAAAAGGCCAAGAGCTGGCTCGTCAACATCACCAGCGGCTTTGACATCAGCTCCCACTACTCACAGGTCAGACTTATAACCAATATGGGTAACACTGCACCTTAAGTTGCCCCAGTACAGTGTTACCGTAATATGTCACCGAAAGTGACATACAGTGGGGAAAAAAAGTATTTAGTCAGCCACCAATTGTGCAAGTTCTCCCACTTAAAAAGATGAGAGAGGCCTGTAATTTTCATCATAGGTACACGTCAACGTTTGAGGTTGTGGACAGGTGTCTTTTATACTGATAACAAGTTCAAACAGGTGCCATTAATACAGGTAACGAGTGGAGGACAGAGGAGCCTCTTAAAGAAGAAGTTACAGGTCTGTGAGAGCCAGAAATCTTGCTTGTTTGTAGGTGACCAAATACTTATTTTCCACCATAATTTGCAAATAAATTCATTAAAAATCCTACAATGTGATTTTCTGGATTTTTTTTATTCTCAATTTGTCTGTCACATTCCAAACTCCACTATGGCCAAGACCAAAGAGCTGTCAAAGGACACCAGAAACAAAATTGTAGACCTGCACCAGGCTGGGAAGACTGAATCTGCAATAGGTAAGCAGCTTGGTTTGAAGAAATCAACTGTGGGAGCAATTATTAGGAAATCGAAGACATACAAGACCACTGATAATCTCCCTCGATCTGGGGCTCTCACCCCGTGGGGTCAAAATGATCACAAGAACGGTGAGCAAAAATCCCAGAACCACACGGGGGGACCTAGTGAATGACCTGCAGAGAGCTGGGACCAAAGTAACAAAGCCTACCATCAGTAACACACTATGCCGCCAGGGACTCAAATCCTGCAGTGCCAGATGTGTCCCCCTGCTTAAGCCAGTACATGTCCAGGCCCGTCTGAAGTTTGCTAGAGTGCATTTGGATGATCCAGAAGAGGTTTGGGAGAATGTCATATGGTCAGATGAAACCAAAATATAACTTTTTGGTAAAAACTCAACTCGTCGTGTTTGGAGGACAAAGAATGCTGAGTTGCATCCAAAGAACACCATACCTACTGTGAAGCATGGGGGTGGAAACATCATGCTTTGGGGCTGTTTTTCTGCAAAGGGACCAGGACGACTGATCCGTGTAAAGGAAAGAATGAATGGGGCCATGTATCGTGAGATTTTGAGTGAAATCCTCCTTCCATCAGCAAGGGCATTGAAGATGAAACGTGGCTGGGTCTTTCAGCATGACAATGATCCCAAACACACCGCCCGGGCAACGAAGGAGTGGCTTCGTAAGAAGCATTTCAAGGTCCTGGAGTGGCCTAGCCAGTCTCCAGATCTCAACCCCATAGAAAATCTTTGGAGGGAGTTGAAAGTTCCTCCATGCAGAGGAGATCTGCATGGAGGAATGGGCCAAAATACCAGCAACAGTGTGTGAAAACCTTGTGAAGACTTACAGAAAACGTTTGACCTGTGTCATTGCCAACAAAGGGTATATAACAAAGTATTGAGAAACTTTTGTTATTGACCAAATACTTATTTTCCACCATAATTTGCAAATAAATTCATAAAAAATCCTACAATGTGATTTTCTGGATTTTCTTTCCTCATTTTGTCTGTCATAGTTGACGTGTACCTATGATGAAAATTACAGGCCTCTCTCATCTTTTTAAGTGGGAGAACTTGCACAATTGGTGGCTGACTAAATACTTTTTTCCCCCACTGTACATGCCAGCATAGTTGACATATAACTACAATGGTTAAATGGAACTGTTGCGACATATTCTATAATATGGTTATTATTATTATATTCTAATGAGACCATGTTGAACTAGGTTGCTGTGGTGCAGTACAGCGACACCCCTCGTCTGGAGATCCCCCTGGGGAAGCACCACAGTGGCCCGGACCTCATCCAGGCCATCGAGGGCATCAGCTATCTGGGCGGGAACACCCAGACGGGCCGAGCCATCAAGTTCGCAGTGGATCACGTGTTCCCGTCCTCGCAGCGCGCCAGCACTGTCAAGAACCGCATTGCGGTGGTTGTGACGGACGGGAAGTCCCAGGACGACGTGGTGGACGCTAGCGTGGAGGCGCAGGCGCAAGGCGTCATTGTGTTTGCCGTGGGAGTGGGCACCGAGATCACCACCTCAGAGCTGGTTTCCATTGCCAACAAGCCGGCGGGGACCTACGTGCTGTATGCCGAGGACTACGCCAACATAGACCGAATCCGAGACTCCATGGAGCAGAGGCTGTGTGAGGGTGAGTGAGTGTAAGGCAGGAGGTGTACTGCTACCTGGAGGTGTGCTAGGATAGAGTTCCCCAGTGGGTTTAGGACCCATGGGTGGGTCACTGCTATTCCTTTTCCTTGATTTCATTCACTTTTTCTTTCACCTTGACTTCGTTCACGTTTTGGATTGGAAGAGTACAGAAAGCATTAATTGGGTCACAGCTCAAAGAGAACATTTGGGGTACCACTGAGCTAACGCGGTGCCCCCATCTCCTATGCCTATTTATGAGGCAGGAGGGTTGCCCTGAAAGCAGGCCGCACTCCGCTCACGCCCTATGAAGGGGGAAGCCGCAGGCACTGGAGCCAAACCAGGGACATGTGGCAGTGGCAAGAAAGGGCTTTAAGAAAATAGTGACAGGAAACAGATGTGATATGCTGACTATTGCCAACCACACTGCAGCTGGAGGCATTGTTTGACCATAAATTGCAGGGAAATTTGTCAACAACAGTTATGAAGCCATAGGAGCCCATTCACTACGTGCAAAGAAAAGCTAGTCAAAATGTGTTAATTATAATGTTTGGTATGCATGTTCAAATACGACAATAAAGATAAATTCAATCTAGATAGTATCTACGGTAGATATGCCACAACACACTGAAATGTATGTGATGTCATTTCTTGTCCAAAGAGTCAGTGTGTCCTACGCGTATCCCGGTGGCTTCCAGGGATGAGAAGGGCTTTGAGTTGATGCTGGGCATGAAGATCCACCAGAAGGCCAAGAAGATCCAAGGATCTCTGGTGTCTGAGGCAGCCTTCTCCCTGACCACCTCAACAGACATCACAGAGAACACAAGGTGGGTCTCCCCTTCAACCTCCACACCAACCATGGTCCTCAATTCCTTTGCTGAGCTATTGTGAACTCATACTTATCTCATATTATTGTTATCGATCAATAATGACAAACCTCCTGGCATTGACAACTTAGATGGAAAACTACTGAGGATGGTACATGGCTCTTTTGCCACTTCTACAGTTGAAGTCAGAAGTTTACATACACTTAGGTTGGAGTCATTAAAACTCATTTTTCAACCACTCCACAAATATCTTGTTAACAAACTATCCTTTTGGCAAGTCGGTTAGGACATCTACTTTGTGCATGACACAAGTAATTTTTCCAACAATTGTTTACAGACAGATTATTTAACTTATAATTCACGATATCACAATTCCAGTGGGTCAGAAGTTTACATACACTAAGTTGACTGTGCCTTTAAACAGCTTGGAAAATTCCAGAAAATGATGTCACGGCTTTAGAAGCTTCTGATAGGCTAATTGACATCATTTGAGTCAATTGGAGGTGTACCTTTACATTTACAAGAGCGACTTACAGGAGCAATTAGGGTTAAGTGCCTTGCTCAAGGGCACATTTACGTCATTTAGCAGACGCTCTTATCCAGAGCGACTCACAAATTGGTGCATTCACCCTATAGCCAGTGGGATAACCACTTTACAATTTTTTTTGGGGGGGGGGGGGGGGGGGGGTAGAAGGATTACTTTATCCTATCCCAGGTATTCCTTAAAGAGGTGGGGTTTCAAATGTCTCCGGAAGGTGGTGAGTGACTCCGCTGTCCTGGCGTCGTGAGGGAGCTTGTTCCACCATTGGGGTGCCAGAGCAGCGAACAGTTTTGACTGGGCTGAGCGGGAACTATGCTTCCGCAGAGGAAGGGGAGCCAGCAGGCCAGAGGTGGATGAACGCAATGCCCTCGTTTGGGTGTAGGGACTGATCAGAGCCCGAAGGTACAGAGGTGCCGTTCCCCTCACTGCTCCATAGGCAAGCACCATGGTCTTGTAACGGATGCGAGCTTCAACTGGAAGCCAGTGGAGTGTGCGGAGGAGGGGGGTGACGTGAGAGAACTTGGGAAGGTTGAACACCAGACGGGCTGCGGCGTTCTGGATGAGTTGTAGGGGTTTAATGGCACAGGCAGGGAGGCCAGCCAACAGCGAGTTGCAGTAATCCAGACGGGAGATGACAAGTGCCTGGATTAGGACCTGTGCCGCTTCCTGTGTAAGGCAGGGTCGTACTCTCCGAATGTTGTAGAGCATGAACCTGCAGGAGCGGGTCACCGCCTTGATGTTAGCGGAGAACGACAGGGTGTTGTCCAGGGTCACGCCAAGGCTCTTCGCACTCTGGGAGGAGGACACAACGGAGTTGTCAACCGTGATGGTGAGATCATGGAACGGGCAGTCCTTCCCCGGGAGGAAGAGCAGCTCCGTCTTGCCAGGGTTCAGCTTGAGGTGGTGATCCGTCATCCATACTGATATGTCTGCCAGACATGCAGAGATGCGATTCGCCACCTGGTTATCAGAAGGGGGAAAGGAGAAGATTAGTTGTGTATCGTCAGCGTAGCAATGATAGGAGAGGCCATGTGAGGATATGACAGAGCCAAGTGACTTGGTGTATAGGGAGAAAAGGAGAGGGCCTAGAACTGAGCCCTGGGGGACACCAGTGGTGAGAGCACGTGGTGCGGAGACAGCTTCTCGCCACGCCACTTGGTAGGAGCGACCGGTCAGGTAGGACGCAATCCAGGAGTGAGCCGCGCCGGAGATGCCCAGCTCGGAGAGGGTGGAGAGGAGGATCTGATGGTTCACAGTATCAAAGGCAGCAGACAGGTCTAGAAGGACAAGAGCAGAGGAGAGAGAGTTAGCTTTAGCAATGCGGAGAGCCTCCGTGACACAGAGAAGAGCAGTCTCAGTTGAATGACCAGTCCTGAAACCTGACTGGTTTGGATCAAGAAGGTCATTCTGAGAGAGATAGCAAGAGAGTTGGCTAAAGACGGCACGCTCAATAGTTTTGGAAAGAAAAGAAAGAAGGGATACTGGTCTGTAGTTGTTGACATCAGTGGGATCGAGTGTTGGTTTTTTGAGAAGGGGAGCAACTCTCGCTCTCTTGAAGACGGAAGGGACATGGCCAGCGGTCAAGGATGAGTTGATCAGCGAGGTGAGGTAGGGGAGAAGGTCACCGGAGATGGTCTGGAGAAGAGAGGAGGGGATGGGGTCAAGCGGGCAGGTTGTTGGGCGGCCTGCAGTCACAAGTCGCAGGATTTTATCTGGAGAGAGAGGGGAGAAAGAAGTCAAAGCATAGGGTAGGGCAGTGTGAGTAGGACCAGCAGTGTCATTAGACTTAACAAACGAGGATCGGATGTCGTCAACCTTCTTTTCAAAGTGGTTGACAAAGTCATCCACAGAGAGAGAGGGGGGGGGGGGGGGGGGGGGGGGGGATTCAGGAGGGAGGAAAATGTGGCAAAGAGCTTCCTAGGGTTAGAGGCAGATGCTTGGAATTTAGAGTGGTAGAAAGTGGCCTTAGCAGCAGAAACAGATGAAGAAAATGTAGAGAGGAGGGAGTGAAAAGATGGATGTACCTGTGGATGTATTTCAAGGACTTCCTTCAAACTCAGTGTCTCTTTGCTTGATATCATGGGAACATCAAAAGAAATCAGCCAAGACCTCAGAAAAAAAACGTGTAGACCTCCACAAGTCTGGTTCATCCTTGGGAGCAATTTCCAAATGCCTGAAGGTACCACGTTCATCTGTACATACAATAGTACGCAAGTATAAACACCATGGGATCATGCAGCCATCATACCACTCAGGAAGGAGACGTGTTCCGTCTCCTAGAGATGAACGTACTTTGGTGCAAAAAGTGCAAATCAATCCCAGAACAACAGCAAAGACCTTGTGAAGATGCTGGAAGAAACAGGTACAAAAGTATCTATATCCACAGTAAAATGAGTCCTATTTCAACATAACCTGAAAGGCCGCTCAACAAGGAAGAAGCCACTGCTCCAAAACTGCCATAAAAAAGCCAGACTACGGTTTGCAACTGCACATGGGGACAAAGATTGTACTTTTTGGAGAAATGTCCTCTGGTCTGATGAAACAAAAATAGAACTGTTTGGCCATAATGACCATCGTTATGTTTGGAGGAAAAAGGGGGATGCTTGCAAGCCGAGAACACCATCCCAACTGTGAAGCATGGGGGTGGCAGCATCATGCTGTGGGGGTGCTTTGCTGCAGGAGGGACTGGTGCACTTCACAAAATAGATGGCATCATGAGGAAGGAAAATTATGTGGATATATTGAAGTAACATCTCAAGACATCAGTCAGGAAGTTAAAGCTTGGTCGCAAATCGGTCTTCCAAATTGACAATGACCCCAAGCATACTTCCAAAGTTGTGGCAAAATGGCTTAAGGACAACAAAGTCAAGGTATTGGAGTGGCCATCACAAAGCCCTGACCTCAATCCTATAGAAAATGTGTGGGCAGAACTGAAAAGGCGTGTGCGAGCAAGGAGGCCTACAAACCTGACTCAGTTACACCAGCTCTGTCAGGAGGAATGGGCCAAAATTCACCCAACTTATTGTGGGAAGCTTGTGGTCAAGGTATTGGAGTGGCCATCACAAAGCCCTGACCTCAATCCTATAGAAAATGTGTGGGCAGAACTGAAAAGGCGTGTGCGAGCAAGGAGGCCTACAAACCTGACTCAGTTACACCAGCTCTGTCAGGAGGAATGGGCCAAAATTCACCCAACTTATTGTGGGAAGCTTGTGGAAGGCTACCCAAAACAGTTGACCCAAGTTAAACAATTTAAAGGCAACGCTACCAAATACTAATTGAGTGTATGTAAACTTCTGACCCACTGGGAATGTGATGAATGAAATAAAAGCTGAAATAAATCATTCTCTCTACTATTATTGTGACATTTCACATTCTTAAAATAAAGTGGTGATCCTAACTGACCTAAGACAGGGAATTCTTACTAGGATTAAATGTCAGGAATTGTGAAAAACTGAGTTTAAGTGTATTTGGCTAAGGTGTATGTAAACTTACGACTTCAACTGTATATGCCATATCTTTAATCTGAGCCTAGAGCAAAGTGTTTGTCCTCAGGCCTGGTGGGAAGCCAAAGTCATTCCGCTACCCAAGAATGGTAAAGCGGCCTTTACTGGTTCTAACAGCGGACCTATCAGCTAGCTGCGAGCTCTTAGCAAAAATGGCTTTTCTTTCGAAAACAAGGACATTTCTATGTGACCCCAAACTTTTGAATGGTAGTGTACATTCAGTAATCTTGCTCTGATTTGTCATCCTAAGGGTCCCAGAGATAAAATGTAGCATAGTTTTGTTTGATAAAATCAACTGGATTCTACAGTCTGAACCCCTGCTGTCTCTGTCTCCACACCCACCCCGCCCGGCCTTCTAGATGTGAGAAAGTTAGTGTATAAGCTAATGATCCATCATGAATGACATTCCTGGGAGTGTGTAAACTGACATTTTGTTTTACTATATCATTTTTGTATGTTCTCTATACTTATGTACTTGAAAATTTATCGATTGACCAATTCGGCACATTTGGGCAGACTTGATACAAAGTAGTCCAGCAATGCAACGCTTCACTGGATCAATCTGAAACTTTTCACATACGCTGCTGCCATCTAGTGGCCAAAATCTAAATTGCGCCTAAACTGCAATATTATATTATGGCCTTTCTCTTGCATTTCAAAGATGATGGAACAAATAGAAAACGCATGTTTTTTTGTTTGTATTATCTTTTACCAGATCTAATGTGTTATATTATCCTATATCAATTTAACTTTTTCACAAACTTCATAGTGTTTCCTTTCAAATGGTATCAAGAATATGCATATCCTTGCTTCAGGTCCTGAGCTACAGGCAGTTAGATTTGGGTATGTCATTGTAGGCGAAAATGGAAAAAAAGGGTCCGATCCTTAAGAGGTTAAGCTGCAGCTGGCCCAGAACAGAGTGGCACGTCTTGCTCGCCATTTTAATCAGAGGGCCAATATCAATAATATGCATGCTAAGAGTTAAGGAAAGACTGACTGCATCGCTTCTTGTTTTAAAAGAAACATTAAATGTCTTGGAAATTCCAAATTGTTTGCGTAGTCAATTTACACACAGCACTGACACACACACTTAACCCACCAGACATGCCACCAAGGGTCTTTTCATAGTCCCCAGCTCAATAACAAATTAAAGGAAATGTACAGTATTATACAGAGCCATGATTGTATGGAACTCCCTTCCATCTCATATAACGCAAGTGAACAGCAAACCTGGTTTCAAAAAACAAATAAACACCACACGGCACAACGCCTCTCCCCCATGTGACCTACTTGTTGTGTGTATGTACTGACATGTATGTGTAACTGATAGATGCAAACACACACACACTACATGTTAATGTTTTTAAATGTATGATAATTGTAAAGTATTTTGTTTGTAATGTCTTTTTCGTAAATTCGGACCCCAGTAAGACTAGCTGTTGCTATTGGCTAATGGGGGATCCGAATAAAATCAACAAAGAATTATAGTAATAATAATAATATCGACTCAGTTATGAGGTATTGTTATTTCTGCCAAAGAGGCAACTGACTGTGACAAGTGAAAGGTATTCACAAGCTTGAATTCGAAATCTGGTTAACGTCTACACCTGGGTGAGTCACTTCGACTACCTTCAGCCTCAGACACTAGAAGCAAGGGAGAGTTTGAAAACATTCCAATTATTTTTTCAGCCAGTGGCACTTCAAACCTATTTGACACATGTTTGTGGGTCGTAAAAAGCACACAACATCATCGCCAATAGTGGAATATTCTAAATATTTTCTTGGCAGCCTGAAGGAAAACAGTGAAAGGTGAACAAGCATTCATAGCACCTAAAATAAACCTTAAATTGTAGGTGTTTTATGTGTGAGCAATTATATTCTGGTAGCTATATATTTTTTATAATGTCAACAGTGAAGTACCACATCTTAGAAAACATTTGCTAAACATCTTAATGTATTTGTTTTTGCTTATTACTCATAACTAGGGCCAATAATGTTTCTTGACCATATGAACTGACCAGGAAAATCTCTGGACCCATAGTTTTTCCTAGACTTGTCACATGATAATACAACTTTCTGTACTCATCATACCTTGCAGGCTTATGATTTCCTCTCATCTTTAAAAGGTTACTTACAAGTTACCATAGAGACGTTTACAAGTACTGTATTCATGATTCAGTTATCTATTCGTTATTTGACTCTTTTCTCAGGGAGATCTTCCCTGAGGGTCTGCCTCCGTCCTATGTGTTTGTGGCCACGGTCCGTCTCAAGGGTTCAGCCAAAAGGGACAAGTTTGACCTGTTGAGGATCCTTTCTAAAGATGGCGTCACACAGGCAGCAGTGACACTGAACGGAGTGGACAAGAGTGTCACCTTCACAACCACCAGCACCACCAACGAGGAGCAGCTGGTCACCTTTAATGTGCAGGGTATTGGGGTTGGTATCTTTGTGTACTTGTGTACATCTTTGTTTACTTGTATACTTATTTGCACATGAACAATGTAGACCTCTACCACTGTCATGAAATATGTTTTTTAAAGAGCATGCTATATACCACACACAGGAGTTTGGTGGCACCTTAATTAGGGAGAACAGGCTCGTGGTAATGACTGAAGCGGAATCATTGGAGTGGTATCAAATACATCAAACACATACAGTTGAAGTCGGAATTTTACATACACTTAGGTTGGAGTCATTAAAACTCGTTTTTCAACCACTCCACAAATGTCTTGTTAACAAACTATAGTTTTGGCAAGTCGGTTAGGACATCTACTTTGTGCATGACACAAGTAATTTTTCCAACAATTGTTTACAGAGAGATTATTTAACTTAGAATTCACTGTATCACAATTCCAGTGGGTCAGAAGTTTACATACACTAAGTTGACTGTGCCTTTAAACAGCTTGGAAAATTCCTGAAAATGATGTAATGGCTTTAGAAGCTTCTGATAGGATAATTGACATCATTTGAGTCAATTGGAGGTGTACCTGTGGATGTATTTCAAGGCCTACCTTCAAACTCAGTGCCTCTTTGCTTGACATCATGGGAAAATCAAAAGAAATCATCCAAGACCTCAGAAAAAAAACTGTAGACCTCCACAAGTCTGGTTCATCCTTGGGAGCAATTTCCAAACGCCTGAAGGTACCACGTTCATCTGTACAAACAATAGTACACAAGTATAAACACCATGGGACCACACAGCCGTCATACCGCTCAGGAAGGAGATGCATTCTGTCTCCTAGAGATGAATGTACTTTGGTGCGAAAAGTGCAAATCAATCCCAGAACAACAGCAAAGGACCTTGTGAAGATGCTGGAAGAAACAGGTACAAAAGTATCTATATCCACAGTAAAACAAGTCCTATATCGACATAACCTGAAAGGCCGCTCAGCAAGGAAGAAGCCACTGCTCCAAAACCGCCATAAAAAAGCCAGACTACGGTTTGCAACTGCACATGGGGACAAAGATGGTACTTTTTGGAGAAATGTCCCCTGTTCTGATGAAACAAAAATAGAACTGTTTGGCCATAATGACCATCGTTATGTTTGGAGAAAAAAGGGGGATGCTTGCAAGTCAAAGAACACCATCCCATCCGTGAAGCACGGGGGTGGCAGCATCATGCTGTGGGGGTGCTTTGCTGCAGGAGGGACTGGTGCACTTCACAAAATAGATGGCATCATGAGGAAGGAAAATTATGTGGATATATTGAAGCAACATTGAAGACATCAGTCAGGAAGTTAAAGCTTGGTCGCAAATGGGTCTTCCAAATGGACAATGACCCCAAGCATACTTCCAAAGTTGTGGCAAAATGGCTTAAGGACAACAAAGTCAAGGTATTGGAGTGGCCATCACAAAGCCCTGACCTCAATCATATAGAAAATTTGTGGGCAGAACTGAAAAAGCGTGTGCGAGCAAGGAGGCCTACAAACCTGACTCAGTTACACCAGCTCTGTCAGGAGGAATGGGCCAAAATTCACCCAACTTATTGTGGGAAGCTTGTGGAAGGCTACCCGAAACATTTGACCCAAGTTAAACAATTTAAAGGCAATGCTACCAAATACTAATTGAGTGTATGTAAAATTCTGACCCACTGGGAATGTGATGAAAGAAATAAAAGCTGAAAGAAATAATTCTCTCCACTACTATTCTGACATTTCACATTCTTAATATAAAGTGGTAATCCTAATTGACCTAAGACAGGGAATTTCTACTAGGATTAAATTGTGAAAAACTGAGTTTTTAAATGTATTTGGCTAAGGCATATGTAAACTTCCAACTTCAACTGTAGTTTCCAGGTGTTTGATGCCCTTCCATTTGCTCCGTTCCGGCCTTTATTATGAGCCGTTCTCCTCTCAGCGGCCTCCACTGATACCACAGTATACTGAAAACACAATATCAGACTTTTCAAAGCCAGGACTTATTCCTGGTCAGGTGACATTATCAGGAAACACACCTGATCCTAACTGTGATCTTGTACGTTGTGATGGTAGGCATACATTCTGCTGGTGTTGGAATGTAGTCTGGCAATGATCATGAACATCACCCTCCCATTTCTGATACTTTCAGTGGACTGGATTGCAGTTTAGACTCCAACGCGTTCTCCATTCAGAACAACATGCAACCTCACAACGTTAATTCATGTGGACGCCATGGCTAAAGGCCACGGAACAGTTGATTTTCTGTTTTCCTTTTGGCAGCTTTGTGTTCAAAGAGAGTGTGCAGCGGAAAAGCGGGATGGTGCCATAAGTACCTCCATGGCACTGCTCACCACTCTGATTGGTAGCATTGGCAACCTGTCTAGAAGCCTGGGTGCCACAAGTACTCCCACTCCTAGATTTAGCTGAATGGTCATTATAACTAAGAGTACACTTTGACATTTACACTGGCATTGTGGACACAGATAGGTATGGATGCAACCGCAAGTGAATTAGAGCCCTATGGTATTATGGACGTCACATCCACTCAGTGTCCCTACCGTTCTGATTGACCCTTTTGGGCCACCATCCGTTACAGAGCCTCTTTGATGAAGGCTGGCACCAGCTGAAGCTGCTCGTGTGGCCCCGGCAAGTCACCGGTTTCCTGGACGACGAGCAGATCCAGGAAGTGGCGCTACTGGAACCGGTGGAGCCAATCTACATCAACGGCAAGACGCAGGTCGCCAAGAAGTTCGGGGCGGAGACCACAGTCCCTGTGAGTAGAAGGAACAGTGTTTGTTCTAGGGCAAATTGGCAAGGGATGTGACTATAGGCTTACTACTGATCCAGTATAATTACTTAGGTTGGCACTGTATATTTACTGGGGCCTTACGTGGGGCGTGTATGGCTCTCACAAAGCATTTGACGAAAGCATTTAGCAGATGTGGTTTTCTATGTTGGACTAAAGTGAAATAGGACCATTGCATTTGGATGAACAATGGGTGAAATTGTTGGATGTAGTCTCTTTCATGATTTCTGTGTTTTCCTTTCTTTTTTAAACCCTTTTTTTAGGTGGAGATACAGAAACTGCGCCTTTATTGTGACCCTCATCAAAGCGAGAGAGAGACAGCCTGTGAAATATACTCTGTGGTGAGGCACACATTCCATTGTGGGGAAAATCGGTTAACTTCCCCAACCCCTCTCAACCCCTTACACATTTAATGTTATTATGACAAATGGAGAAAATGTGATAGCATCTTGACAAAGAAGTTGTAAAGTGTAGTTTGAAGTGCAGTTTACATAAACTGTGTATATGGGTATAGTGGAATATATATTTTTCTCTCTTTTTTCTTTCACAGGATGATGAGAGGGTAAGTGAGAGCTTGTTTTCTCTGCTCTTTTTAACCATTTATTGTCTGCATCAGAGTGTCACTGACTTCAGTGTGTATCTGTCCCAGTGTCCCCTGGACCGTGAGCCCACAGTGGAGGAAGTGGAGTGTGACTGTGCTAATGGCAGCTCAGGACCACCTGGACTTCCTGGACCTATGGTACAGTACAGCATCACCCACTCTGGTGTTACCCTCTCCCACACACATACAGTATCCCAAAACCCACACTCTCTCTGCCCCTCTCTCCATCTCATTCTGTCTGTCTCGGTCTGCTTCCTGGGCTTCGTTGTAAAAGAAATGGACATCTGATAGATTGGTTAGTCTCCTCCCCTCAGGTAGCTTTGACACCGGAGCTTAAAACGTTTCAGTGACAGGCCCTGCAACCACATCCTGTGTGATTTATTACATTGAGTCCATTTTAGAAGTGTGTGTCGGCAGGAATCACTGTAGATCATCAATCATTAGATAGACCATCCGTTATTAATGCAGTATTTATTTGGACAATCTTTCATTCAAAACAATACAAGTTAAAAAAGAAAGGGAGCAATCACTCCAACAATGTTTTTTTTCCTGATTCTCCTGAGTATATGCCACTTGTGTAACATGATCAATCACACATTCACATTTGTTGAAAAGCCCGTAACATATTTTAATGCCTTTGTGACTGGCTGTACAGGGTCTCCAAGGTGAGATAGGAAGAGCAGGGCCACCCGGCCCTGACGGTAAGCCTGTGAGTACACATCAATGTCTCATATCATCGTCATATTGCATGATAACAACAGTATCCATCTCCCATCACACCTACCTCCTACAGATGTTGGGAGAAGTTTTGGGGGACTTTTTAACATATAATTTGACATAACGGAAGAGAGAATCACAGATAGCCTTCCCACTTAGGCAACACATAGACTACATTATACTGACCCTATGATTGCTTGTTTTCCTCCATGCTTGCCTTTTGTTTTTGACTATGGAAACCAGGGTGAGCCTGGTAGGTCTGGAGAACCTGGGTTTCCTGGCGAGAGGGTGAGCTTTCTAGACAGTCTAACACTCTGTTTACTGTAACACTTTTAACACTCAGGAATAATGTATTATTAAATATGAATAGTACCATTTTTAAAGCAAACTGTTATGGTTGTTAAGCTAACAGTTAGCATATCCATTCAGTTTAATGTGGACTGTGCAGGAATCAAACCCACCACAATAGTAGCCAGTATTACCAACACCATGGCAGCAACCACTGCTCTGACGAAGGCCAAGAGGCCACCACCTAAACTTAAATAAAATAAATTATACTAGCAAGAGCAGTGTGCGGCTGTCTCTTTTTTTTAGCAACCACTGCAGTGCCATTAATATATGTTTAATAGCATGATACATCTATTAAATCTGAGAGACATACAATAGAAGTGTTTGTTTCTTCTTTCTTCCTGACCCACACAGGGTGAATTGGGCCCACTAGGACCCAGCGGGGCTCCGGGTCTGACGGGTGGTAAAGTAAGCTCCCCTCCTTTGTGTGGATGTGCATGGTTTGGATTGATATATTAGGGTTTGAGTTTTGCATAACACTCTAACATGCTCCAACTCTGTGTCCATGAAGGGCGAGAGAGGGGATCCAGGACTGCCGGGGAAACCGGGCCCGCCAGGACCAAAGGTGAGACTCCCAACCCGACTTCCACCAACTGTGCCAGGGGACGAGAGGAGCCAACCAGCCCACACCACCAACACCACAGCCCTGTCTGAAGCACCACAATGGTGCTCTGTATACCAGTCATGTTCTGTCTGTTCTGGACTAGTGTTTTAAGAGGGTTTAAACATATGGTCAGGTTCAATGGAAACAACACAGTCTAACTGCGTTGAAGTGCAGGCCCTTTGAGACCAGATGGGGAGGAAATGGAGGGATTTATTTTCACATGTAGCATATCAAAACCTTCAGAAAATGGACAGAGAAAAAAAGAGTCAACACTGTAAAGCACTACAGAGGCCAAGAGTAGTTAGATTTTTCATCAATGCCTCTCTGTGCGTTGTTAAAATATTGTATTTTGTATTCTAGGGTCCTGCCACCTCACAATTAAACCTTGGCTCTGTTGGAATGCCAGGGAAAATGGTAAGGGTTTGGGCCTTGGTTTCCAGACCTTTTCCTGACAATAGAGCTCTAATATTTGATGAAGTGAAACTGTGCCTGTAACAACATGTCTTCGCCATTGTCCATATAGGGACTTCCAGGTGAGAGGGGAGAAGCCGGACCTCCGGGAGAGATTGGACCAATGGTACGATCTGGTTTTGGTTCTTTGTTTATCTATGATCATCATCTGACCAATATGGTCGTTTGTCATATTCTTTGGCAGTCTGTCAGTTTCGGAACCTGGCTTCTTAGTTTGATCTTGTTAAAAGCTCCCATGTCTACATAGCTGCTGATAAAATAGTATGTGTTGCCAGCTTCTACACCCTAGATGACTACAATGATTCTAATTTAAGTCCTTCACAAAAAACTGCAAACCTTCAACTCAATGCCCATTACTAACAGGTGAGGGCTTCCAGTGTACGTCTCATCTCATAAGATGCTCAAACTGACAGAACTAATAACTACCAGGCACTGCATGTAGTTCAGTTGGTAGAGCATGGCGCTTGCAACGCCAGGGTTGTGGGTTCGATTCCCACGGGGGGCCAGTATGAAAAATGTGTGCACTCACTAACTGTAAGTCGCTCTGGATAAGAGCGTCTGCTAAATGACTAAAATGTAAAATGTAGATACAAGTTTAAGTGGGCTAGCAAACTGTCATCCAAGTCTCAGTAATTCTAATTATCTCACTGCAGTGATTATGAGATATAACTGACTGCATAACCCACAACAGGTCTTTGACTTGAATCCTCATTTGGGCTTTCATTTAGCCTGGGAATCCAAACTAAATCCACACTACATTTGTGAAACAGTTTAGATTCCCAGGTTAGCCATTATTACCTTCATAGTGGAGACATCACAGTTATTTGGTAATTCTCTAAGATTAGGAGAAAGTGTAGGCTACAGCGGAGTGGGTTTGCTGCTTCCTCAGTCCTCTCTGTATGTCTATACACCAGACAGCCTGTTTGAAGTCGGAGTGGAGGGGCTAATTTCTGTAATTGTGTTTGATTTGGGACGTGAAGAGGGGGAATTTGGCATTGACCTGTTCTACTCCATTTTGTTCTAAAGAGGTCTTTATTTTCCTTACAGGGGGGACCGGGAGTGCAGGGCAGAGCTGGACCGATCGGGCCGGTGGGACCAAAGGTGAGTCCTTTCCTAAACTTCCTGCTCCATTAACAATGAGAGGATCGTAACTTGATTTTTGTTTATAGAGGCATAGGCAGTAATGAAAGGAAGCTAGACTCATTCTGTTTCTAATTAGTTAACAGTGTAGTTACTGTGTAATTACATGAAACAACATGCTATCCAAGCAACTACATTGACGACATTGTGCTTTATCTATGATGTACAGTGTGAAAATATGAGGTACAGTAGGATAATATAGGAACATAATGTGCTCTGCACCAGCTGCCAAGTGAATCATATTCTAATGCCTTCTTTGGCCTTAGATGGATGGCTGGGCATGCTGCTACTTTGATTGAAGTTCAATCCCATCAATCCTCTCTTGGCATCTTTTGATTCAATTAAGCGAAGGACACAGGATTGACCACATCTGAAGCACGTCAAGTTGTGAAATAAGTTAAATATAACACTGTGAATTTGCAAACAAGAAAGCATGAAGGCTAGCTGTGCAGATTCGCTTTCGACCCTTCTAGGAAATTAAGTTATGTGCATGTTATACCAATTGAATTCCAGCCACAAAGCAATTTGGCAGTTTTCCTGTTATTATAATGCATTTGCGACCCAAGAAGCACTTGAACTGTAATTGCAACAGGCCCATCGGTCTCTGTGTGTGGGTTGAGCACTGCCTCAGTAATAACAAGAGGTTGTGTTCACACTTTGAGTTTCTAATGTGAACCACATGCACAGTGCTACTGCACAGTTCCATTGACACAAAACAGAATTGCAGTCCAGTCATGTAGTTAAACACGTCCTATTAGACCAAAACGAGGCCTTTCATCAGAACTACAGGACCAAAACACAGTGGTTAAAGACCATGTCAGGGATGCGTTTCATCCTGAAAAGCACCTTGAAAAGAAGTGTCTGATAGGGTCATGTCACCTGAATCGGCTTCATCTGTTCAAGCGCTCATCATACTGTTTAGGGATTCATTGGATTCATTATACTGTACATTCATCTATCTGGACTGGTACATGTGGGGACCAGTTGTAAGCCATGTAAACCACAACATGATCCTGTATCCATCATCTCTGATCTGCTTACTTAGTACAGTCAAGTGGTGAAGAATTTATAACCAACAAGCTAGAAGCCTGTGATTGCACTGGTCCTGGGACCAAGCGAACGTTCACGTGTGGTACTTTCTCAGATACCGCAAGGAAAATAAATAAAGTGCATTTCCCTTGATACTGTTGCAGGAAGCATTGCACAGCCTAATGATTTACAGGAATCAACCTATCTGTATACACAGACGGACAGACAGGGCTATTCTCATACAGTTGACTTAAACATGGAAATTCAACTCTGTTTATTGGATTAGTGAGTCCTGACAAAGATTGTGTTTGGATGGAATAGTCAGAAAGAGTGTTTTCCCCTCTACCTTTCAGCCTGATTGTAATAGTTGGGAAATTAATGAATCACAAGACAGTGCAGATTCAGTGAGACAAATCTATTTAATGTTAGTTGTGCTACCGGATCTTATATAGTCAGCTTTTCTAATGAAAGAGAGAGCCATTGTTGAACTGGGTTGTACAGATTGATTAATTCACTTGTTGAACAGATTCAACCCATCTGGACACGATCAGTGCACAATCTTGACTTGCAGTAAGTCATCACATTGAAATGATAATTTTGTGATCATGGAAGTCAGTGTAATTATTTATGTATAACAGTGTGTGTAATTTGTTGTGACACATGGTGGAAAACTATTGTAACAAACCAAATGCGTGATTCAAGCACTTAGTGTTGCTTTACACTGAGATCCACTGGTGAATTTGAAACACTGATGGTGCATATAGAATAGCGTGTGTGCGTGTCTTTCCAGTCTCAGGCAGTTTGAATGAAACATGCACTCACCCCCGTTGACAGTTCAGGTGGCTGGGTCCTGGGTCCTGTCTTGGGGGTGTTTCACATTACTGGCAGAGGGCCACCCCCCACTCAGCGCCCGGTCCATGCCAAGCTATAGGCCTGTACCTATACTCACAACCTCCTG